TTTGTTTTTCGGCGAATGATAACCTGTCGTTAAAATAATTAATTATAGAAAAGAAGTCTAAAAAGCAGCATTATCTTATCCCTCAAATGTTGCTAAGAGTAAGACATCATTGAGTGTATGTTTTTTTTCTTTGTATACGAATAAAACTTAATGAGATTGTCTTAACTATCAGAACTTAAGATGATTTTTATAAATATGTGGGTGTAGGTGTGGTAGGCCGTAAAAAAAACTTGTTGAGAAATTTCGAAATTATAATAGTGTTTTAAAAATTTTAGTTTAAAAAATATATTTTCTTTATGAGATATTGAATATTTCAAAGAGAATATTTTTATTTCAACTGATATTTTTATAACATTGTTATTGTCTCGATATCTCGCTATTAAAACTAAAAATGCAGGTTTAGAGTTCGTAAGACAATCGTTTATAAAAGCCATAATCCAAGAATGGAAATCAAATAAAGTGATAACAACTTGACATAGATAGTGTCATAAGTGCAGATCTTTCTATGCATTTGCTATTATACTCATCAAGTCCTAGTGTCGGACCACGTATCATATCGATATATTGCTCTAATGAACATGGCAAAATGTCTCTGACAGTTTATGATTTATGCGCATTTCAGAAGATAAAACAGAATTTTGTTGTAATATCGATCTTTTCAGATGAATATACAAATGGTTAGGTCGACTAATAAGACCAAAGAAAGACTTATTCCAATAATCAATAGTCGTTATAATTAAGACCACTAGATTTAATGTCTATAAAACTGATTAGAAATCTTTATGTATTATGTTATTAAGGGAAAATCAAATCAAATGAAAATATATGTTTTGAATTAATAGACATTAATAGTATTTTATTTGACAATGGTAATTTTATTTCTTTTTCGTTTTCTTTATAAAACAATATCAAAACATAACAAAACCTGTTTCATCGTATCGAAGGCAAAAACCGGCTATAAGCAGTCTTTCTTGGTTCTATGAAATAAGCAACATATTGTATACATTAAAACTATTTGACGTTTGCATTCTTTAGGGTTATAGAAGTTCTTTTGTTCTCTTGTCATATTGATTATATGACATTTCTATCTTGTCATATTGGGTAACATAAACTATCTTTTTTCCGCTCCTTTTTTTATTAAGAACTTTTCCAGAGAAAAAACATGTCAGATTTGTGTGTAACCTTGATTATGAATTGACGATAGAAATCATCATAAAAGAAAAGTATATATAGCTAGCTTTTGTTTTTTTGGGATATATTAACTGTGATTCTTGTCGTTTTTTTTTATTTCGTAATAATATAAGGGAGGAAATCAATTTCCTTCTTATCGGTTGTTATAGAAATTGATAAAGAAAAAAAAAAGATAATATATACTTGACATATACGATCAGTTGATTAAAAAGAAAATATTCATTATATAAAAATGATATTTGCATAGTTCTCATATAGAATGTTGTTAATAAATGAATTTCATTTTTATGTAATGTAAATTTCCAATCCATAAAAGATTCAATAAAGCGAAGAATAGATTTTAGTTTTGAAATATCTTAAAAAGATATTCAATTCATATGAAACAAGTTGTTTTGCATTAATCTTATATTTCTCAATGTAATGTTTTTTATGTAATTTGACTCTTTCACATGTCAAATAGTCACTTGCAAGAAAACAAGATGATCGGTTTATTTTTGGACAACAGAAAATCTTAGACTTTTAATCAAAGCTATCAGAAAAAAAACAACAATATTTTTCTTCTTTAAGTTTTATTACGTACTCAAGTAGAATGACACATCAACTTAATGTCACTTTAGTTGAACGGTTTTTTTAACTTGATAGAATAAATTAATCTGAAAAGCAGATATTTAGTATGTTAATCTATAATTTGCAAGGTCATACCGTTCACTTATAATCTTTCGCCAACGGCTCTTTCTCTTTTAATTTAATATTAATATCATCCTGATTACCTTTTTCTTGTAATCTATGACTTTTACTAAGAAAATGCATCTATTAAAATGAATGATAACATTTCTATATAGTCGATTTAACTGTTCGATTTTTTTCAAAGAAAATTATTATTTATCATATCTAATCCATCAATGTTAAATCTTAAAAATAAAATAGAAAATAGTGTTTATAACAAAAGATATACGCCAATGCACAAACCGACGGTACCAGCGGTTGAAAGTTTTCTATAGTATTTTTAAGAAGTTTTCTTATTATCATTTCATTTTGAAAAATAAAGAAAAGGATAAAATGGCATTACAAGGACGATGATTACAGCCGCGAAGACCACCCAAAACAGAACTGTATACTATGACTTCGTACAATTTATGATTGTCAAAACCTGTAAATTAACGCCTTTACAATATAGTGAAATACGATTGTTTACTACCGTGCTTATTTGATATAATTAACTATTTATGCGAATGGTGATGATACAATTAAACTGTTAGAGTGTTAATGACTAAAATTCATTCAGAAAAATCGGCAACCGTGGTGACTTAGTCGACGGGTGACTAATGACTTTATCTATAAAGAATAAAAAGATTAAATACAACAACAAGCTAGTAATTAATACGTGTCCTGAGTAAAGAGATCAAATAATAATTGTTGATTATCTTTATTCAGTTCAATCACTAATTATTAAATTAAATAAACATTTATTCAAAAGAATTATGTAGGATAGTTAAAGTATTAGAAATTAATTTTAAAGTCCAAAATAAATTTATTCATATCTTTGAACTTTTTTTTTTTTTATTGATTCTTATTAGAAAAAAGAGTTAGAATGAGTCTGAAGAAATAAATCTCGACTAGAACTGAATTTACAAGCTTCCATTTTTGAACTAGTACGACTACATCAACCATACTAATATATTTCTTTGCCTAATAATATTACTAATCGAATTCTGAAAGTCATCAGTCCAAGACGCTGTCATTTGAAGATCCTAGTGACTAATATATATGAAAAGTATCCGAAATTCGCTGTTGTTTTTCCTTTATTCCATACAAAGAAAAATCACTATAGTGAGGAAGTAAGGATTCACAAATCTATGGGCTTTGATTGAAAAATTATTTCATTAATAAACAATATCGACTTTGTATCAATGAAAACTAAGTACCGTTTTCTAACAAAATCTTCTTTTCCATTGTATCAGACAACCATATAATTCGACTACAATGATTACACATCTTATACACACAAAGAATTGCACCTTCTTGCTAGGTAAAATTCTAGAATAAAAATTATTTATTACATATTATCAGACATAAAGTGAGCTTAAACATAACTCTTCACACTATTTTTTTTAACCTTTAGTTTCGAATCCAAACTTTGTCTAAACCAGGATTAGAGAAATACTAAAATTTTCAATTATGGGTTTCCTGCACTTTATTATTTTATTCGACTAAAGTAAGAATCTAATCTTTTCAACATTTGACGATCTATTCAAGTTATTCATTATTATTCTGATTATGAATGTTTTTTTGTTATACGAACAGTTTCTATATCACCCTAGTACACTATATAAAACGGCTAATCAATGTCATATTTTCTACGGTAAATATGAGATAATGGAGACTGTTTTCTGTTTTTACATAATTATATATGTAATTAGCTTTCAGAAGAATTCATGCTGTTATTGTTGCAATCGTGTGACATAACTTTATGTAAACCATACTTGACTGGTCTCCACCATAGAAATCGTAACTCTACGATTCCTATGTCGGTCGCAAGTCCGAGTAAAGGAGGAGCGTTTGGCGGAAGGGGTGCAGATACCGCTGTCAGTAAAAAGAAAAGACGAAAGAAACCAACCATGAACGGTCATAATCGAAATCCATACCGGCTCGGACGTCGCCCGGGTCAACAAGGTCCGCGTCCTCTGTTGGGTAACCAGGGCAGAGTCGAAAAATTGGCAACTGGAAAGACAAGAACAACGACAGGAANGCTTCTTTCGGGATTTAGTCGTTTCCTCAGGAAAAAACATCGAATCCTTGCAGGATCTTGATCCTATCTTCCAAGGATCCGGGGCTGAAACATCAAAGATTTTCCCTAGGGAAGTGAGAGAAAGAAACACCGAGATTTAGAGCTATTTTAGTTGGCGTACTCGTTATTTTGTCTTGCATTGACCAACGTCTTTGCTCCGAAAGAATAAAACTAGGCTACAAGAAATGTATCTTTAAAACTGTCAAACCTTCGGTTCAACATGAAGAGTTCAATAAAAGTCTGATGACCAATGACATGTTTGAGAATCTTCAAGTTAGTTTTTGAAAATTACAATAAGGCTTTCGAAGAGTAGCAGATTGACATGAAATTTTATGAAGCTCTTACAGATAGAAAGGCCTTCTACAAGATACTCGAGAATCTGTGACAGTCTTAAGATCTCCTTCTAACGTCCAAGGTAATTCGTACGAACTTGAACATGAGCAAACGTGTAGCTAGAGTTTTTTGAGCGAAGGACTCACAACGATTATTGAGGTTATTGACAACGTATTAGTTTCTAAGGGACAAAGTAGAAGATCTTACAAATATTTGAGCACAATAGAACAGACAAAAAGAATCTCGGCCTCCTGCTGTGTCAATAAAACTACAATTTATTCTTTGAGTCTCACTCTAGTATAAACCAACGGATGACTCCGATATCTAACTATCAGTTTTTTATGACTGACAAAACTGTGATCCCACTAAAAAAAACTACACGATCACGTGCAACTCTACCCTAGATCATATCGAGTCATACGCAAACGATTTAATGCAAAATATAACTTTTAAAATGCTTCCAAAAGCTAGTATAGGGAATAGGTTGGCTTATACTCGTCAAAATAATGCCAGGATTAAAGAAAAAGAGCAAAGAAAAGGGCAAATTATATGAAACGCGTTGTGCAAGAGGGAGAGGATTAAGAGCGGCTTATATCTATTGTTCTTTAAAGAGAAATCATACAAGCACTTTTGAATATACTAACTACAGTTTTGTCTCGAACACAGTAGTAAAGACAGGCAACACCAAATGAGCACACTTGAAGACATTGAATTGAACGGTAGCAGCGTTGATAAAGTGAAAATTAGTGAGCAAAAAGAAGATATCAATGAAATTGAACCGACGGTTGAAGAGTTGGCAACATTGGAACATGTTTCTGAACGGATACCACTCGGAGCCTGGCTGATTGTCTGCTGCGAATTGTGCGAACGTTTCGCATTTTATGGACTTGCTGCTCCCTTTCAGAATTATATTCAATATCCTATACCTGGTCCAGGTGATAAACAACCGGGTGCCCTTAATCGTGGACAAAGGACGGCCACCTCGGTAACAACATTCTTTCAATTTTTCGCTTATCTCACACCGATCGCTGGTGCCATTCTAGCCGATCAATATTGGGGAAAATACAAGACGATTCTTTTAGCTTGTGTAGTCTATATGGTCGGTCTTCTCGTTCTGGTTGTAACTAGTATACCACCCTCCATTAATGCCGGTGTCGCCTTTCCCGGTTTGATCGTAGCGATAATCATAATAAGTTTCGGTACTGGTGGTGTCAAGAGTAATGTAAGCCCACTGATGGCTGAACAATATACTAGAACAAAGCCAATTGTTAGAGGTAACCAAAAAATTCTTTCTAGTACAAAATCAAACGTATTATCTCTTTGTAGTTATCGGAGGCAAAAAGAAGATTATCGACCCGAAAATGTGAGTTCGTTGAGTATTTATCTTGTTATTGATCGGATTGTATTGCCCGTGTTTTAGAACCGTGCAGTCAATGTTCAATTGGTTCTACTGGGCTATCAATTTGGGCGCACTATCATCAATCATTACCACTAATACTGAAAAGTATCATTCGTTTTGGCTTGCCTATCTTCTACCGATGATCGTATTCGTTGGTTCGATTATTGTTCTGTTCATTGGCCGTAATCAATATGTTCAAAAACCTCCAACTGGTTCATTGATTATTCGAGCGTTTCGCGTGACAGTGATGGCCATTAGAAATCGACTGAAGCTAGGCAAGCAACGCGATTGTTATCATATTTTGGATTATGCTAAGGAAATTTCATCGTCCACCGATTATAATGGCACACAAACGGTGGCGGAGCTGAACAACAATCAGTTTATTGATGATTTCAAACAAGCAATTAGAGCTTGCCGTGTCTTTGCTTTCTATCCCTTTTACTGGATCTGTTACAGTCAATTAATGAGCAATTTGGTATCGCAAGCCGCACAAATGAATGTCGGTAAGTTAGACATTTTTCTGTTGAAATGATCAAGAAAACTGACGACTTTCGATCTGCGATTCATTGTATTTTTTCTTTAGGTCCTCTACCCAATGATGTCTTACAGAATATCGATCCGATCGTTCTGATTATTTTCATTCCTGTTTTCGATAAATTGATCTATCCAACTTTGCGACGATTTAACATCAAGTTTTCGTCGATCCCTCGTATCTTCTGCGGTTTCATGTGTGCTTCTCTAACTATGGGTTGGGCAGCACTCGTTCAACATTTGATTTATCAGACTGGTCCAAACTATGATTTCACCCAGTCGTGTTCGGATTGCGAAAAATTCAATAATATTACTGTCGCTTGGCAAATTCCATCTTATTTTTTCCTTGCCATCTCGGAAATCTTTGCATCTATTACTGGTCTCGAGTATGCATTTACTCAGGCTCCAGCATCAATGAAATCCATCGTCATGTCATTGTTCCTCTTCACATCGGCACTCGGTAATGCCCTGAATTTCGCACTTATACCAGTGACGGTCAATCCGAAACTGCTGTGGATGTATACATCACTAACGATTATGGCGTTCGTCGTTGGTATTATATTTTTTGCTGTCTTTCGAAATGAAGATAAGAAACACAAAGAACAACCAGCGAACAAATAGATCAGATCAATCCTTTTTTGATTGCATATTGTTCTATTGCACCGATTCACATCAATAAATATTCCTTCTAATTGCAAAAGTAGTTTCACTCATATACTCTATATACTTTGCGAGATTGTGGATGGATAATGGAATCGAATTCCAGCTCTTACATGTTCTGCAATGAGTTGATGAAATATTCATGTATATTTTCAGAAATTCAAAAGTGTCAATCATTACTGATAATCAACTGTCATAGTTTGAGACAAGAGTAGGCGATTTTCCAAGGATGTGCAAATGAAGATTCGTAATAAGACTGTTATTGAAGCAAATCCATTAATGAAAGTATGTTCAATCAGTGACTTGTAGGACATACTGGAATACTATCTTGTCATACGCTTCCAGTTCAGTTCCAACTGAGCCACGTTGAACATGTTGGATTCTTCTTTGAGTAGAGAGAAGTCAATCAGATTGTTGGTCGTACTGGTCTTGATACGATACACTTGTCTCCTACACTCAAAAGTCAGTGTAGCCTATTTTTTCAGTTTGAATCAATGAGACTACAACGTACCTTTGGAGTTGTCTTTGATCAAGTATATTGAGGTTATTGTAAAATTTTCTAGTTCTTCAAATAATACTTCTCAAATGGTTCTTAATTGATCTGAGATTAAAAGCTATATAGCGAAATGAGGGTGTTCGAGACAGAGCCTGACTTTGTTGAACGAAACAAATTGCTGAAGTAGGCCTTGAACTAGCTGAAAGAGAAGTTTTTCCATTGAACGTTCATGTATGAAATAAAAACGAATAAAATATGATTTTAGAACAGTAAATGAGTGAACGTGAGTGTATAGTAGATGTAAGTGAGTGGAAGATTGTCACCATCCATCATTTACGCACCCATTCATTCATTCACTTATCCTCATCGTGGCTCTCATAAAAGCTTTGCATTATTGATCTATTGTAACATATACGAATATCTGTACATTTACGCAGTCACTCAAAATAGAATAGTTGGCCATTGATAGAGAATTGATTCAAGCCAAAGCAGGGCCTGATAATTAAAGTATTTTGCAAGGAAACTGTTGCACAAAAGAATTTCAAAATACTTCGAATGAACCATCCATAACAAAGTTCGATAAGATATTATCACGAGGAAACAACATATCACTCGAATCCGCATAACTTTTTTATTTTATATCAGCTTATTCATACTACAACAATAATGTGTTACCTACCCATTTCTGTGTTCATATTCTACTAAGATACGTACAAGCAACTAATACGTATTATAAAATGTTTCTTATGCTAATTGAATTAACAAGCGTGATTTTCAATGGTTAATGACTATGACTTTTTCATGAGTACCATTTAGAGACGATTGTGATATGCAGATAACTGTCTCATTGGCAAGTGTTTGCCTTCAATGGTGGTAGGCAACTGTCAGACAAGAAAATGTCCGATGGGTAAGCGTCTCTCGAGCATTTATCAGGCAGGTAAATGTCCTCAATTCTTGTTGATCATCACACTTTAGCAATTCGAAAGAATAATGGTGTTTATTGTGGATTGGTGTGGATGTGAGTTGTGAGTGAGGGAAGACTTCCTCCACACTTACCGACACAAACGTACCTACACGCAACCCTAATTTTTTTCTGTCGAAGAACTTTCACTACACATTAAGAAATATCTTTTTGTCCAAGAGAAACATGGCACATATTTTCCTTTTTCATATTTATAAAGTCTTCATTTTTCCCACTGGTCATGATTCATAGAAAATGCTTATGTTTTTCATTTTCCATTCACCCCACATTTTCTAATTGATGTTGCGCATATAAAAACTTATGCTTAAGATGTCAAGGATGATGAGGAGTAGTAATACATTGATTTGCCATAGTCATCATATTTTCAGCATAAAAGGTGTGAACTGATCAAATTATAATTTTGAGAAATAATCAATATCAATGTTTCTGAGCTCATCAAAATATGTAATAGCATGTTGAGAACTACTATAAATTATATATAATGGGTATGCTCAACAGGTATATTTGCTAATTAAATCAATGGTTAGAATAATAATAATACTAAATTAAGAAAGAAAGAGTATGAAAATGAAAAACAACAAGCAAGTAGTGGTACGGCAAAGACAAAATAAAGCACTAGTAAAAAACAGAAAAAACTTCTATTCAAAGTTTCTCCGGCGATTGATTATTCTTGAAAAATAACTATAGTCTGCTAAAGATTTTTCACTTAACTTATTTTGTATTAGTGTAATAAGACTAAAGAACACATGTGAATTCCACATTGTAGTCCGAATGGAGCTTCGCTGACAATCTTTTTTGCGTATTAAAAGATATTAAAATAACGAAATATAAATAATGACATAATTTTACAGAATTTAATTCCAGTTGGAATCAAATAGACAAGATATTAAATAGTTTTGATTTGAAGAAAATAATGAATGATGTTCAAATCTATTTCATACTTTTGATACACCAATATGGTATCGATCCATCGATTAGAATTAAATCTAAAGAAATGGTAACAAAACTAGGAAGAAACATAGGCTATATCGATATTTGAGAATCAAAAGAGGTTCTATATTTTGATAAATGAAATGAGAAGAAATGCATATACCCTTTATCATCTAAGAGATATAAAATGAATGTATTTATTTAAAAGAAAATGTTAGTGTTACTGTTCTTTATCGATATTGATAGTCATCAATGAAAGCAATAATGATTGTAAGAATAGCATATGATCGTCTTTGGAATCTATTCGTGTTGATTTATTGTCATAATCGACTTTTAGATTTCTTAAACGAGCAAAAAATATTTCCGTTGAGATTTGATAAAAGAGAAAAACAAACTCACTTTCCAAGTAATGATCGTGGATCATTTTCTGGATGTTTCAATGTATGATCATTAATCTTATTATTTTCAGTTGTTATATGAGTATCAGTTAAAGAATTCATATTATTCAATGAAGAATAAAACTCTTGTTGCCATAATTGATAATTAGAAATAGATGGTTCAGTTAACATCATTGGTTGTGTTGATGGTTGTTGAATAGGATTAAAACGTTTTTGTTTCGTATTCGATAAACTTGATCTAATTAAAAAAGAAGACAGAAAATTAACTTGTGAGCCTTATGTCTCAGAAAACAAAAGTAAACAAATCATCAAAAATTTTACTGCTAGTAGAATACATGATACGCTACAAGAGCACATATAATTTCTTCGGGAAAACTTACAGCCGCATGTTTGAAATCGAGACCCTTTTGCTCGCATAAGTAAAAGTGGTCATTGTCTCAGTGATATTTGCTGCTTTTCGTCAGATTTATTACTTTTCTAGTAAAAATAAATCATGTATTTAAAATCAGAATCAACAATTGACTTGATCTAAATACATTTTAATCTGTTTGAACAATTTTTATTTTTGTCGAAAAATTCACTCCTGGTCATCCTAGGGATTTTAGTGATAACATGGAGTCAATCATAACTTCATTTTTAGTGCTGCATAGTTTTCTGTCTTTTCTGTGTTCTATGGTTATTTTACATGACCAGAACTTATTTTCAACTGTCAAAATGAGACTTTCATTGACTTCATTTTTTAACTGAATTCTGAGAGAACCAGGTGTAAATTTTTCGACAAAAATATAAGTTACCCGAAACAATTTGAAACAATATAGATCGACTCAGTTAGTGAAACTGATTTCAAACAAATTATTTATTTTGACTAGAAAAGTAACGAATTTGAGAAGAATCGGCAAATATCTGTTCAAGGATGCATGTTTTTTGTAGCCCGTTGTGTGCTCAATTGTAACTGAAATTTTGGTGATTTATTCATTTCTATTTTCTAAGATATAAGACTCACAAGATTGACTAGTGATTAAAAATGTCTCTATTCCATCTGCTCGTCCGTTCTTCTCTATCCAGTTGCGGCTCAATAGAAGTTCATTTAGCTAATGTTTTTGTCTCAAAATATAGCTCAAATCAGTACCTCAGCATCATCGAACTTCACCTCAGAAGAATCATCTGTCACTCTTAGCTCACAAGACAAAGAAGTGCCATATAAGTATCAAAATCAAGTCATAAAACGAACGTTAACTGATCAAAAGCGATTCTGTCAACGATTAAATCCCTTTGCTTAACTTTCAGCTTTTGATGTACGTTCTTTTTTGAAAAAAGTAGTTCTAGGATTACAGTTTAACAACTAGTATGATAAAGGCGTAGACGGTGCACATTTTTTTAAAATTCAATTTAAGTTGAAATGATTGACAATGAACTTTACTGAACGTTACAGTATTTCTTATATATCCTGCATAAATGATATAAATGTAGTCAATATACTTTTTCTGAATTATTCGATCGTTATTTGTAGATTCAAGTGTTGATGCAGGAGTTGAAACAGATGATGTAAGAAAAAATGGTGTATTGGTTAAATCCGAAAATGGAGAATCAAAATCTATATGAAAAAAGAATTTTTTTTTCTTTAGTTTTTAATTATTAACATATACCAAATAGAGGATCTTGAGAAAAGAGTATAGATGCATATGGATCAGATGATATTGTATTTTCTACTGTTGTATCAAAAGGTATACGAAATGATCCAGTTGTTGTACGAGATACTGTTCCATAAGGATAATTATTATTAAAATGACCTAATTATTTAATTAATTATTTAAAACTGTAAAGAAAGAAAAGAAAAAAACGTTACTTCTCAGACCTCCTCGAGAACCTCTTGTTGCTGATTGTCTTGAAAGAGTATGTCGTTGAGATGTTATATTTCTATTTGATATTGAATTATGACAATCATTTCGAACTATTGTTTGTGCAAGTCTTTGACGAGCTGCTGCTTCTTGACGACGATTTTCTTCTTTAGTAAATAATCGTTCTGCAAGTATATATAACGGTAATCCTTCATCTTCATCATCATTTTGATCAAAATCTTCCTTTAGAACAAAACAAAACAAAAACGTAATTGATCAATTAAAATAAATCATTTACTTTTTTATTTTCAAATTGTTGTATTTGATTTATTGATAAATCTCCATCATCATGTTCTCTTGCAATATGATCGGCTAATGAAACAAAACGTGATTGATATCCTTCTAATGGATTAATAACACATATAGGACACATCTAAAAATAATAAAAAATATTGATAAATCAAAAACAAACAAAAAAAATTATTATTTTACATACAACAACTTGACTAGTCTTTGTTTCGGATAACATAATTGAATGTTTTTCTAAACAATGTATTAAAAGTGTATGTGAAATAAAACCAGATAAACCACAATATGGACATGTTAATGAAACTATTGTTCGATAAGATATTAATTCACCTGCATAGAATAATTCTAAAATTGAAAAAGAAAATGAAATCATATTAGATAAAATAATCAAAAAAAAAAGGCAACCATATGCTGCTTTTGTTAATATACATTGCATTGGATGTGTATGAATATGATTTTGACTTTCAACATTCATATCATAACATGAACCACAAAGATCATAATTATCACATTGTAAACATTTATAGCGACGGCCAGAAAAATTCGTTTTTAAACATGAATCACATGAAACACCTATAAATGAAAACAAAAAAAAAACTATGTTATATAATAAAATTTCTATTACCAATATGTGAAGACATTCTGTGTTAGATCTAAAAAGCATATCATTGTTAGAAGAAAATATTCTTTGAATAAAACGAACAAAAAGTAATTATCTATTATTCATTGTACGAACTACTCTTTGTATGAGATCAAAGTTAAAAAAACGTATTAGAAAATCAACGAAGTGTCGGTGTGACTATTCGTATAAGTATCTTATGTAATAAGTCAAAAACAACTTTCCTCCTTAGAAAATGTAATTTCTGAGCTCAGAAAATTCATTTTTTGAATCAATTCCTTTTGCAATATATGGATCTTGGAAAAAGACTACTAAATAAAAATGTCTTTCTTTTGAAAACATTCTATCGTTAGTTAGATGAAAATGAAATTCGATCATTTTATCTATTTTTCGATCCTTTGTAAGAATTCGATAACAAAACAGTATGATAACATAAAATTCTCAGGCTATATTTCTAGACGTTGGTAGTTTAAATAGGCATAAATTATTGAAAACTATTTTCAGTTTGTCTTCTCATAAAAGCAATGTATCTTACTAATTCGATTCTTTCGTCAATTGAATAAATTTCAATTATAATCAATTAACGGGTGGGGCATAATAAATATCCCACTTTTGTATTTCATTTTTCCACATCTTAATACATTATATTAAAAAAACAAAATATACCATAACATGCAGCTTGAAAAGCTCTACAATTTACATACGACCACTTTTTTTATAATTGCACTTTTTACTTCACAAGTGATCAAAATTTAGAGCGATCAAATTTCGACTGTGCGAAAATGATATTTTGTTTTGGTAAAAGATGAATTAGTTTGTTCTCGTTTCATCTTTTTATTACCTGATATCTTCTATTTAAAAAGAAAAAAGAATATACCATTAGATGTAGCAGAAGAAGCTCTACAATTTATACACGACAGCTANCTGACGATCAGATACCTTTGTCTTTCTTTTTCGTCTGTTTACTCTTTAATTAACTGTGAAAATAAATAAATTTGTATTACAGAAAAACAAAAAATATTTTTCGGGGAGTATCCTAAAAAATGCGGGGCCCCCGACCCCGATCCCGAAAACCTTTTTCAGCCCCGATCCCCGCCCCGACCCAGCCGGGGTTGGGGCGGGGACCGGGGTTCCCCGCTGATCTCTAACGCATATATATATATATATGATCAAAATAAACGGAACACCTAATTTTTCCAATAATTCTCTATATTGTTCTTATTTAGCCTATTATCTATATCATAGATACACTGGTTGCCACTCTATCTGCTTCTGAAGTTTCAATCACAAATGATTAGAAATGGGTGAAAAAATCGTAACCATATTTCACACATTGAGTATCTTTGACAGAAAAGTTTCATGTTCATGCTTGGTGTAACGGTTTATTTTTTTTTAGACATGGTGTCTGTTCTTTCTTGACTCATTGTCACTCAATGGGGATGCAATTAAAGTGATGACAAAACTGATGATGTTCACGTATCGAATGACTGACTTTTAATGTAAAATTGTTTAGAAAATATGTCCTTGTTTTTGAGAAACTTGAAATTGATCTAACAACATGCAGACACTAGGACGTAGACCTAAATAGGGCGTTTGATTTGCTCAGTCCCATTGTGATGTCAGATTACAGCTTTTCATCGATTTTAGCTTAGAACTACCAGTAACAGCATCCAGACTTTTGTTGCTTTTGAACCGAGATTTTGAGAGTCTTCCTTTCATTCATACTTCCATCGATCCGACGAAAGAGATAACGGGTGGGGCATAATAAATGTCCCACTTTTGTATTTCATTTTTCCACATCTTAATACGTTATATTAAAAAACAAAATATACCATAACATGCAGCTTGAAAAGCTCTACAATTTACATACGACCGCTTTTTTTATAATTGCACTTTTTACTTCACAAGTGATCAAAATTTAGAGCGATCAAATTTCGACTGTGCGAAAATGATATTTTGTTTTGGTAAAAGATGAATTAGTTTGTTCTCGTTTCATCTTTTTATTACCTGATATCTTCTATTTAAAAAGAAAAAAGAACATACCATTAGATGTAGCAGAAGAAGCTCTACAATTTATACACGACAGCTATTCTTACAGTTGTACTTTTTGTTTTCAAAGCTAACAAAAATTCTGAGCGATTAGATTTTGGTGCTGCGAAAAAGTCATTTTTCAATACACGACCAATTTGTTTTTTTCTCACTTATCATTTGATGTGTTTTATTAAAAAGAAACAAAATACACCACAAGATGCAGCTTGACAAGCTTTACAATTTACAGAAGATCGCTTTTTTTATAGGTGCACTTTTTGTTTTCAAATCAGCTAGGCAATCAAATTTTGACCACGCGAAAACAATATTTTTTTTCTACGAGATAGATTGTTTTTTTCTTATTTCATCTTTTTATCACCTGATATCTTTTATTTTAAAAAAAGCAAAATATATCACTAGATGCAGCGAGAAAAGCTCTACATTTTACGCGCTACAGCTTATTGTGATTGTTTTGTATAGAAGCAAAATTCTCTGCGATCAATTTTCGCACAGTCAAAATTTGATCGTTCTGAATTTTGATCACTTGTGAAGTAAAAAATGCAATTATAAAAAAAGCGGTCGTATGTAAATTGTAGAGCTTTTCAAGTTGCATGTTATGGTATATTTTGTTTTTTTAATATAACGTATTAAGATGTGGAAAAATGAAATACAAAAGTGGAACATTTATTATGCCCCACCCGTTATATGTCATATATAAAGCGTCTCAATAACTACAAAAATATATGTAATATATAGATAAGTTTTGGTTGTATCATCTGAAACAAGATGCGATATAATAGAGAAACACAGAACATCAATAAATATTCAACTAAAATAAGAAAATCTTTGAAAAGCAATCAATTTTTGAACGAAATATTCTTTTTGTTACACTGTAACATTTTTAAAACATATAAAGAATTCGATTTAAAACTGAACTCTAAAAGACCCGCAAGAATATTACAACAAGGAATAAGTTTTTTTTTTAACCATCATGTATTTTTTTTTCTAATTATATAAGTATGACAGATAATCAATGAATTTTTATTCGACGAATCGAACAAATATCTAAACATGAATCATTTTTAATTTTAAAACAATGTTCAAAGAATATCAAAAAATAGATGGAGATAGTTAGCAATGAAAAAAATGGTTTCGTTTCAAGAATATCCTTTTCATATGAATATAAGACGTGTTCTTGTAACCAACGAATATTAATACATATGAGGAAATTATAAGTGTTTAGCACAATTGAGATTTAAAACTTCTGTTTCTCTCGACTGATTTGAAGAGTTTTTTTATATTTTATTTTTCCTTTGAACATCTCACTGCCGTATAAAGTGTCAGCTCTTTAAGCTCATACTGTCGCTCAGTTATGAGATGTATGACAACAAAAAACATCGTTGCTTGCTGACAGGTGTAAAGAAAAGAAAATCTTTTGACTACAAAAAAAGAAAGAAAAACGATTTAATTAGTGTATTCTGTACAGCATTCGACGCTCCATTAAAATATATAACTAATATAAATTTAACTGCTTTTCGGGTATGAATGTGAGTGTGATTTGGAAGAGTGTGCGAGTGCGAGTTCTCATTACTTCACACCCCACAATTACAGTGACATGTAACATTGACAAGACAATAGGAACATAGAGTGAGGAGTGCTCTATGTATTCATGAAAACTATTCTAAATTTGGTATCAGATTTAATGAGTATAGAGCTAAATAAATCCATGTCTGCAAAAAGAATACGAGATCGTAGTTGGACGATTGAACAACGCCTAATTTGTTGAGCTTTTCAGCGAAATACATTCTACAACAAATAAGCTCACAAGCAAGTTTTAATGTTACTATAAAATGCTTTTAAAACTCAAAAAAAGTTGCCAATTTTATCTGGATCACCTGATACATTATTTTATTTGATTGATTTCGGTAATAAATGTATGAAAAATTTGTTTCAAAAGAAATAGTTCTGACGGTTATGAAGAATTCATTTTATTATTTATGTAATTCATCTAATCTTAATTATATGCTAAATATTCTATTAAATAAAGTTAATTATTCTTATTTCTCTAAGAGTTGTGAATGAAGTTGGTAATGTTTGATTAGATTATGAAGAATAAAATACTATTGAACACTGTCAAGTGTGATGTTCTGCTATTGATCTCTTACCATTATTCACTTTTTGAGTGAGATATAATATTTAATAAAACGCAAGTTTTCATTCGATGCTATATCAAAAGAAATAATTACCTTCATTTTTTATTTCGTTTTTATAACCTTGTGGAACATGCATTTTGTTTGACAGATACTTTGATGTCATTGTGTATAATGACACAGACTCAACTCTAGTTCTCGCTGTGAGAAAGCTGCAGGGAAATAAACTATATTAAAAGACATTGAATTCTTTTGATAATAAACTGGTAAGAAAAGATTCTCTTCTATCAGCTTTGTTTCAGAGGAAGAAAAAAACAGGATTTCCGGTAAAACAAGGTCATTTTACTCATTTAGTAGCGTGTCGATTTGATAATTATCTGCGGTGTAACTTGTGAATGAGGTGTTCAAGGTCACTCAAGTTTCTATAGTAAATATAACACACAAAGTTCTAAAAATAATGTAAATTTCAATTCATGATATTGCACCATTTAGAAGAAATTTATATAAGACTATAAAATGTGATGACATTTTTTCCGTAAATATTTTCAATTGCAACGACTGAAAATTTCCTTTTTATGCATAATTTAACTCAAAAGAAGTCGACTAGCAGACATGAGTATATTGTGAACTATTCTTGAGCACTCATTTTTTTAACGAAGAACTGAAAAATGACTTGAAGTTTTACAACAAGTTAAGTCTATTTCATCAGCATTGTCTTGTTTCCTTTATATTTAATAAAGTGTTTGGAAACTTTCGCCGTATAATATCAGCACATAGTATAATTTTCAATGTTTTAAACGTCTCCTTGTAAAAAGTCTTCCGAGTCTTTTCTTTGTGTCTCATTTATTTTCATAATTGTTAATTAAAAGGGTTTTCCAAAAAACTAAAAAGATTTTGAGAATGTGAGAGAAGGTTTTTAAAGTTTGTTAGTGCAAAAAATTGAAAGCTAAATATATTTTTATGTAACTATACAAGTTAAAGGTTCAGTTTTTCAAGAAATTAAGTATTTAATGAGGATCTTGTATTACGTTGAGCAATTCAAATCTTAGTTTTTCATCACTTATAACGCTTAAATTTAATTTTTGTGTAGACTACATAGCTTGATAGAGCAAATAATTCTCTTCAAAATCAGGAATGTTCAAAAATGGTTATGTCAAAATAACCTAAAAAGAGTATTGAAGTATAAGAGTAAAAATGTTGACCTTCTTCCCCCACAGATCATAAAAAATACGTTAGCAATACTTCCCAACCCTCATGCCACAGATCGCATATCAATAGCGTCTCGTGATAATAAATGAACTACTTCTTTTATTGTATTTCTGGAGGATTAAGTAAAAGAATGGCAAAAAAATATTTCCAAAAATAGATACATTGAAACAATCTTTCTCTGATTAGCAAAAGTAGCTACATTGTGTTTTACATTTTAATCCCGCAGGGAACTGCGCTAACAGCTTTTCCTATAGAAAATACTAAGAAGAAAAAACGTGGTATAGAACTCAAAGGCTTCATTTCATAGAGAAGTCTAAGCTCTATCATTCTATTTAGTTCATACAAAATTACATTCACGGGTTAACGGTGCTGGAAAACCAAAGTTCGGATTTGCTGAAAATTCCATCTTAAAGAATCTATTAATAATTTTTATTTTCTTATATTCTTGTTCAAAAAGAATTTTCTCTGCTGGAATCACTACTTGGATTCTTTCTTGCGTTTAAATCAACAGGAAAAATCGGAAACCAATTGTGTTGAATAATTTTGGTACTTGCTATAAATATATAATCAATAATAAACATGTCTGTTGTTTCATCTCCAAGGACAAACATAATTATACATATAACCTAAGGTTTTTTTTTAGTTTCTGTTAGTCAATATTTCACATTCTATCTATACTATTATATCCAATTGAATAAAACCAGTTATTTTTTAAACAAAACAAAAACTTATGTCTTTTTAGTTACATTAGTTATCTGTCTATTATATTTTTTATTATATTTGTCAAAAATAAGTATATATTCATAAACGCACCATAGAGAAACAACAGAAAACAAACGATAACGACAGAAAAATAGACTGTATTAGAATGGATATAATAGTTAAGGATTTTTTTAAATTTTAGTATTATTGTTGGACAATAATACACAAAAAAAAATTAATAAGAATACGTACACATATACACATACATACAAATAAATAATACAGAAGTTTATATATTTTTTTTTTGAATCGATCAATCACAACAGAAGATCCGGTAAATTTAATTTTTTTTGTGACTAAACTATCTGGACCTATTCGCAGGGCGGAATGATCATATATATAATCAATATTGAAAGCCTTTTTAATTTTTTTGTTTTGTTGTTTTAATTTTCTTCCTGTTGTAATTGTGATTGTTGTTTTGATGGAGTATATAAAGATTTCCATTCATCTAATTCATTATGATAAATAACATCAATTGTTATAGAATTTGGTACAGTTACTTCAGCTGTTGTTATATTATATGTATTATATTCATCACATAAACGATAATAATATTCAATGGCTAATTGTGATATTAATGTTAATGTTAAATTACGTTCATGTGCCATTAAACAAACTGTACTACGTTCAATAATTGTACTTAATTGTAATAAATAACGATATTTAGCTGAATCATCATTAGAAAAATGTGATGATAAATATGATAATAATTTATATTCTTGTTCATTTATATCAGCAAAATCAATAAAAAACCTTGAACACATTAATTTTTCAAGTTGCCAAGATGATATACCATTATCATATGGACGATAACCACGTGTTAATAAAAGACAATATTTAAGTAAACCACCACCATGTATACCTTCAGGTGATGTTGTAACTATTTGACGACGATTAAGATGTATTAAAGCAGCATCAAAACTTCCATATAAACATTCAACTGATATGATTGGATATCGATATAAATAACGATTATTTTTTGATGAACGATAGTCTAAAGAAAAGAAAAAGAAAATCTTATTTTTTTTTTATTTTTTCCGAAATTTACATTTGCTCTACATTATTTTTCAACTCATATAAGTACTCAATTAGTCGATTTTATTATTCAGAAAAATCCATTGATCCAGATAATATTGGTAAGATCTAATGTGTATAGTAAAAGCTATATTTATTTTATAATTGATATTTTTTTTCTCAGTTCTTATTAATTATATGGTCTTTTTTCCGTTTTATTTTTAAAATACAATTGCAATAGAAAACCATTTCGGGTTTTTTTCCTTTTCTTCATTTAAAAATAGGAATACAGCTGTTGTTGTTCTTTTTCTTTTTTTTTCTATCATTACAAGCTGATGCTTACCATGATTATGATATTGTTGTTTTTTATTAGCTTTTTGTTGATATTTCAAAATTTTTTCATAATAATCAAGTAATGGATCAATTAAAATTTGAAATGAATCAACACTAAATTGAAATTGTCTTTTCATACGATCAACAAATTTTAATTCAATATTTTGACCATTAATATTATATAAAGATATTAATGCCCACGAATCATTATTTGATGGATTAATAACACGTACTATTTTTTCAACATAGGCTGCTTGAATTATAATTGGTGAAAATGATGATTGAAAAGATGATGATGGAATTTGTTGAGATAAACATTCACATACAATTGTTTTTATTTGTGTCCATGTCGATTCAGATGATAAATCACAACGAAATATAAAATCAATATCTGTATAAGAGAATGATTTATCATTTGTTAATACATAAGAAGCGGCACCTAGGAATTAATTTTTTTAAATAAAATATAAAATAAAAATTTTTCAAATAATTTTTCATACCTCCATTAAGACGTATATCTTTAATATCAATATGATTTAAGAGAAAAGCTCGTCTTAATTCAATTAAAAAATCTTTTGAAACAATATTTAATGTTGGAAAATTTCCTTGACCATGAATTTCAACTGGTTGTTCAAGTATTGAACATAATTTATTAATATGACGATGAATTAATGTTGAATATGGTGTTCGTTTATTTATATTATTATATTCATTGGTCATTTTATTATTTGTATCTGATTGTATATCGTTCTTTTTGATTTTTCTTTCAATATGATGTTGTTGTTGATCATGATGAATCGACATTGTTTCATCACAATTAACCAATGATGAATAACTTGATGCAGCCGAAAGGGATGATATTGGTGTTTGTTCGAGTGATGATGGTAATGAACATGTCATTGAATACGAATCGTCCGTAGAATTCATTCGTTGTATAAGGAAAAAATAAACAAATTGTTTATTGATCTATAATAATAGAGAAGGTGCTGAAAATAGCCTTAGGATAATAGTTCAATGTAGACGAGCAAAAGAAAAAAAAAGATAGAGAACTAGCTCGAATAATCTCATATTTTTCCTTTCTTTTTTTCTCTTTCTTCTACTTGCATGCTTCTGCATTCTGTATGGTACGCCAACGCATCTACAAGTTCGCTGTCATTATCTTTCTGGAATAATGTTGTTAATAGCGGAGAGTGAAGAAGAAGAAGAAGAAAAAAGAAGAACTTAAAGAAACGAAGAAAAAAGAACAACGAGAGGAGAAAAAAGGTTATCAATGAAAAAAAAAAACTAGTGCTTTTACTTGTATGCCTTCCCTTCTTTCGCTCTCTATAATGATTTTATCTGGGTCGACTAACAAGTTGCCGCCAACTTGGTCGTCACTGTCGAACATAATTGTCATTCTGCGTTCTCACAAAGAATTTTCCTTGAAAATATGCGTGGGTTGGAACATATAGATAGAAACATTCTTATATAGGTTTTTCTCGGCTGAACGCAAAATAGGAAAAAAAAGAGAAAAGAAAAGAAATGAGTAGGAGGACGTTGTGTGAGAATTATTTCATGAACAAACGAGAAAAGTGAAGGATGCGTAGGTGGACAAATCGACAACGATGTTGTCGGACAAAAATGGGAAAATAATGATGATCTATATTACATATCGTTTTCTAACTAAAGAATAAAAATAAATGTGTAGGCGTATATGATTAAAACAAATAAAGAAAAACAAAGTTGTCTACAAACAATTACGAAGAATTGATTCGACTTAGTTCTCTTTTATAATTTCATCATACTTGTTCAGAACAATATGATGCAATTTATTATTATATTTTATAGAACAAGAATAAATGATGACAGCAAAGATTAGAAAATTGATCTCAAAAAGAATTGCGAAAGACAAAAAAAAACTAGGAACGAGAGCAAAGAGTATTCTAGAAAAAAAGAATTATATGCTTTCGAATTACAATGTTTAAAGAAAAGACAAGATTAATAAGTGTCACTTGTAAAAAGTGTATGACGCAATTTATGTTCAGAGAACATAATAATTAATCAAATATAGAAGGTTTTTTTGCTTGATAATCGTAATTTGTATCAAGGACAGACAAGACAAAATACAAAAAAAAGACTTGTTCAAGGAAACTAAAATAGATGAAATTGATATCAACAATTCTGCTTAGTAAAAAAATCCTTTTTTGGAAGTATTTCTATATTTCATGATAATCTTTGTTTTCTAATAAGAGTAATGGTTAAATTTCAGATATTATATATATGATTAAAAAGAAAATCTAATAATAAAATGTTCTCGTTCCTGACTTGTGAAAATTATCATTTTGACATAAAAATACTTATCTCATCAACATATGTAGCAAAATTTTTTTCTTTAAGGTGTGGTTTATTTCGCTTATCTTTATTTATAGTTTATCTAAATGATTTTGCGAACAAAGAAAAAAAATGTAGGGTGAAACAAAATTTTGTCTATGTAACTAAAGAAATTATCGAAACATACTTTTGTTTCAGAAGTCACTTTTGAATATTTTCAGTGTTAGTATGAGTGAAAATAGGTAAAAAGAATATAATAGAAAGGCATTTTTTTAAAATAGACAGAAAGAGAAGAAAGGTATTATAGTTGGTGTTATTTTTGAGAAGGTAATCGAAAAAAAAAATGAAATGATTATTTATTTGAAATTCGATAACGGTTATCAGATATAAACGCTTCAAACACTGCTAGTGCATAAGTACTGACGAAAAGACAACTTTAAAAAATCGTTCTAATTGACAAACAAATAATATTTACCCAATAGAGATAAGTCTAAAAAAGCTTGTCTTCATATTAAACTAAAAAGTTAATAGGTCTCCTTAAAAATTTTAAAAATAACAAATATAATAAATAGGGTCAGCTGATGTCAACCTTCCATCTGCTTATATTCTCACAATTACTAAACAAACCGTGGGTGAGGATAATTTTTTTTTATTATTATCATTATTAACCAAGGGCCAAAGGTTGACATAAGTTATCTTTATCATCTCTCATACAATACTATGAATATTCAAGTGACATGTAATTGAAGAGTAGGGCATGGTAAAAGAAACTTCATACCAGTAAAATATCAAACAAAAGAAAAAGAAGAATTAAAGTTAGTTAATAATGAACAAGACTCCAAATGAAAGAACGTTTTTCATTAATATATTCGTGTATAGAATTATCAAGATACCTCTTTTCTTAATATTATTGAGTGCCATTTACTACAAACAATGATGATGACGTTTCAAGGTGACTCTCCTTTTTTTTCTCTTTAAAAATTATAAATGAAGACAAAACAGAAATTTATTCATCATATCCAATAACTTTATTTAAATACATAGACATATGTTGATATACATACTTCGATCAATAAATCAATTTACAGAATCAAAAAAATAATAATAATTACGTGTATTTAAATCTATTATATACTCATAATTATTCCGTCCCCCTTTTTTTTTTAATGCAAATAATATATATCATTTGTCAATAAGAAAATAATATCAATAAATCTTTAATACATTATTAGATTTGGGGATCTTGGTTTTTTTTTTCTATTAATAAATTCTGATGGTACACTGATGTTCCCTTGTTTTCAGCACTATCATCAAGTATTTCGCTTTTGGCGTCATGTTCTCACTTTGATGTTTTACTAAGTATTTCAATAGATTAAAGACTATATCTTCTTACTAATAACTAAATGTTTCTCCTTTGAATCTATTGCGTGATAGTACAAATAAAAAAACATACTCAATCACCTATATGAATCAACTACTTACATATTCAAATTAATCTACTTGCATGTAGCACTTTAAATAATATATGTAAAATTGTTCTATTGCAGAAAATCATACTGATTTAATTATAGGACATCATTTGTTTTCTAGAATTGTTAATAGTACACATTAGAAGTGCTTGAATGATTGTTTTCAAAAATAGAAATCATGATATATTTCTTTCCATCTTACGACAGCAAAAAAACAGAAAAAAGATACAAATCAGTTTAACCGATAGAAACAAACTATACATTGATTACCATAACTAATTACATTAAAATAAATATGAAAACTTATTGCTTTATTTTATTTTTATAGAATGTATAATATATTCGAAGTCAAAAAATAATATTAAAGCTAATATTTTAGATATAATTAACAAGTAGTTAAGCTGATACGATATATGACCTAGCAAATATGTATATTGAGAAATCTTCTTAAGTTCGAAATCATCATGAGTATTGGAGGAAAGTTTTTTTTTTTATTTATTTAAGCTTTGTAATTAGATCCGATTTGTTGCATGACTCAGTAGATAAAGAAAATTTGCAAAATATTTTCTTTAGAATGATGCCTTTTTAAACTTATGCACTGATTGACACAAAAAAATTTGTTTCTTTGAAAGTTAAATTTAATATAAAAAAAAATGAATATTCGACAAGGTATTCATATCGATCTTGAAAATGACCTCTACTCTATTATTTTAATTAATTGTTTCAGAAGAAAATTAGAAATGTATCGAGAAGAAAGATATAGGCGATTATATTGATATAATTTAGCCTATTGGAACATCAAGCTACGTATTGAGTACATAAAATTTCAACTTGAATGAGTTTGTTAAAGATTTTCTTTTATTAGTAAGCGCAATTATATCATGTTTCATATTTGAATACTGTTAATAGTGCGTTAACAATTTATCTTCTAAGAATAGAAAATGGTCTGTATTGAAGAAAACTTATTCAATGGTCTGTTGATTAAAAAAATAAAAATCTCGAAATAGAAACTCATTTATATTTGTTTATAACTTGATTTCAATAATCATCTAATCACTCTTATTCAAAATGATCAAAGAGAATGTTCTGATTGACAGACAGTTCAATGTTGTTGTATAAATAAGCATAAAATTTATTAATTTTTATACGTAGATTGATAAGTCTATTTGAACATATAGTTATGATTAAAAACAAAACACTTAATTAAGAATCTTATATGTATTTATTAAAGTGTAATTCGACAAGAAAAAAAATAATTATTATTATATTAGTATTCATTGTACTTATAAAAATAAAAACTGAAATTTTATTCAAAATAAAAGTAATAGAACGCATCAAAATGTTGCCTTGATATGTCATGTCAATTGTCAAAATTAATTTTTATGATCATTATCAATATACATGTCATATTATGAATTTTATGTTTACTACTTTGATTAATGCATTTCCATGACAACATATAATTTTATCTATGTGTCTAGATTCTTTCATCAATCTGTAAGGCCAAGTGAATCGACATGCAATAAATCTTACTTTTCTTTTTTACATGTTCTTGTCAAATTTTGAAAGTTTTCCATTTGTCAAAATGGAATTTAATTCGATTTGTTCTACTAAAGGAGAGAAGACAAGTATTTGAGTGGTCTTCTTGTTTAAAAATTGTTATGTTCTATAACTAAATGTCTTATTCACAGGAGAAGAAGAGCTACTGTTATTAAAGCTCAACAGAAGAAATAGGTCTATTAAAAGCGAAGAGAAAAAAAATGGTAAAATGAAAATAATCAAAATAGATCTTGGAAAACCAAAGATAAATGTGACAAGAGATCGAAGGCTAAAAAAAAATATATACTTAATCTCGCTCTATTTCAATTTTATGCATCGTGATCGTCATCAAATATCAAAGCCACAAAATCATCGTTCCATCTCATGCTGATTTTCGACTTTTGGGAATTAGTGTAGTTAGGATTGTGACAGTGAAGAGGACTCTGTCTAATAATGCAATCTGTGGCAAAGTTTAGTTGGTGTGGCTTTGGTCAAGAAGTTCAGTCGCCCTCTCTCCTCTGATTACGCTATTACTGAAGCCTATTGGGTTTGAAATTTTCGAATCCGGATCTGGTTGAACCGTACTTTTATAGTCTTCAGCTAATCGAAATTGAGCTGTCGCCCTGATGATACGAGAAACATTTTTTGGTTTTTGATATTCGGTGATTAGCACGTCCTATACATTGCTCAGACGACTAGAGCCTGTCGGATCCGAATCCAACACTAACCGGACAGACTCTAGCCTTTACTCCTCGGTCAAATTTCTCGGAATCGAAAACTATTGAAATTTAGACTCCGAATGACACTTCATCTTTATTTTATCGAGTAGTATAGAGTGCCGAATTTTACTACACTCCAAAATCATACATTGTTAATGCTACAGCAGCATATCAGAATATGTTTTTAGAATTATTTTTCTGTAACAAAAGTGGAAAATAAAGTAACATTAGAAAGTTCACAATACTGGATGAAATAAAGTGTTCTATACTTTAGTTTCATTTTTAATAGTAGAATAAAAATAAAATATCAAATTCATGTTTGACTAATGGTGGAAAAGGAAAAACTTATTGGAAATATAATTTTAGTTGCATTATGAATGTAAAACTATCGAAAATACATTTTTAATTACTCTATTAAATTTTTTGTCACCTAAAATTTAATTAAAAATCACTTATTTTTAGTAGCTCTTTATTAGTATGCAATTATATTATTGAAGTTATTTTCGTTTTTTGTACATTTTTACATCATCTCATGACTTAAATAAACATTTTTATTATTATATTCTATTCTGCAAAAATACTCGATAACCAACGAAGACTCAACATAAAAGAAAACAGCGGATAAACAATTCTTTATCGTTTTTAAAAGTATTTCGAGTGCTCGAAATATCAATCACTCAAATATCTGCATGTTTCAGTTATCGAAGATACCCTAGGTCAAACAAATACTGTTGTCAATGGTTGTTTCAGATATTTTTTTTGCGTCGTTTGATAGGTGCGGCAGGACGAATGTATAGTAAACGATCGTAAATTATCGAACACTCGATCTTTAGACCTTTATCATTTATGCTTGACACAATAAAATACGGTCGTAATACAACGCCTGTCAAACGTGAATTTACAGATATTTACGATTTTAAACTGTATGAAACGATAGCATACATAAAGTACCGTTTGCGACAGCCTGGGCGATTGCAATAATCGTTCTAGAGAAGGTTTTGAGTGTATTAAAGTCTTAGATTCCCCCTCCCCCCCCCCCCCCCCTCCCCCCCCGCCTCCTCGC